CTGAGCTTCAATTCTTGTATGTAATTTATTACCAGGTAGTTTCATGTAAACTCTTAACTATATTTTACTCAAATAAAAATAGAGACAAGACCTCACCTCAACCTGCAAGGTTGAAATTTAAAAAAAAAAGAATATTAAAAATTAGCAAGGTACTATAGATAGTGTATAACTGCCTAAATATATTCAGTACTGTTTTAAAGGTACTATCCATCACCCAAAAGGATAATTAATTTAGGTAACAAATATTTTCTAAGGTCGTAAAAATTAAAATCTCATCCTGCTCTAAGATGAAATCATAAATTAAAAGTCTAACCTACTTAAAGTTTTTTTCATATGTTCAGGAATAACTAGATTTTCTAAGGACAATAGCTCCGTAGGAAGGTCAAAATGATAAATTCTTTTAATTGTTTGACACATTGCATCAGATGACAGAAGGTATTGATATACAAATTGAAGACTGTCAGTGAATGCTGTTTGAAAAACTTGTGTTGGTTTTTTGCTAATTAGCTGAGTATGCTCTTTTATTCTAGTGATCATTTTTATAACTTCTGCTCTGCTCACTTGCGCTACATAGTTATGATCTGATGTATTTCGAAGGTTATATTGATCATTAACTAGTCTGATTACTGCATGACCTTTGTATTCCAGTATGTTCTGCTTTTCGTAATACTAATAAAACATATCTTTACAACTCTTATCTTTAACTATAAGATAGCCGTCAATATTAATTTTATCCTTTCTGCGAGTAGATAGAATGACTTCACAAATGTTATTTATAGTGCAGATAAGAAAAAGTAAGAAAATATTAATATAAAAATAAAATATATATATAGTGTAAATGGGTAATAGAAAAATTGAATTTTAATTTTTGCGTAATAGATTCTTTATATAAATTACCATCAGCGAGTCATATAACAACAAATTTGGGATCTCGAAGAAGGCTTAAAAAAAATTATTTTACAATTTCTCCTTATTAGAAGTAATATATTCATGATCTCTTTATTGTTATGATAGGAATTCATTCATTTTTAACTTAATATACCCTTTTCTATTTCATATGCCTGTAAATATTTAATTTTGAATCTCATTCTTTTTCATATACCTGTATATAAAATACTCTCAATTTGATTTTATGTATGCTGATAGCTTCTAAACATTCTATTACTATTGCGCTTTTCTTTTTCAGATACCCATTTAATTACTTGCTATTAAAAGTATCCCGCTAAATCACAAAAAATTAATAACTACTAAATGAAGTAGTCCATATATTTTTAAGTAATCAGACTTACCTATTTAGATAGTAACTCATTTTGTAATTCAAAAAAAAAAGATTATGTAATAACGTAGCTATGACAAAATTACTAATTTTTTTAAAATGACATAATTCTATTTTATATTAAGTATAGTCTATTATAATGCATATTAAAAAGATTTGAATTTTTATTAGTATTAGATTTGTATTTTATTATCATTTTTTTTATATTTAAGTAGGGTTGTTAATAGAGTACTCTTCGCTAATACTCTTATTCTGCTTAGGTCAGTTTCATATTATTATTATTTTTTTTTTTTAAATGAATAGTTCTACTCTTCTTTACTAACTCTAACTAAATATATTTTTAAATATATAATCCAAGTCAGGTTTTCATAATACTCTTTATTCTATTTAGGTTAGTATTACTTTTTTTTTTTTTTAAACAAATAGTTCCACTCTTTACTGGTTCTAATTAATTTTTTTTTTTTAATATACAATTCAGGTAAGGTCTTCATAACGCTCTTTATTCTGTTCAGGTCAGATTTCATATTATCTTTTTTTTTTTCAAACAAATAGTTCTACTCTTCTTTACTAGTTCTAATTAAATTTTTTTCTTTTTTAATATACAATCTGGGCTTCGTAATGCTCTTTATTCTGTTTAGATCAGATTTTGCATTATATATATATATATATTTTTAAATAAATAGTTCTACTCTTCTTTACTACAACTAAATATATTTTTTAAATATATAATCAGATCAGGTCATTATAATACTCTTTATTCTGTTTAAGTCAGCATTACTTTTTTTTTTTTTTTTTTTTTAAACAAATAGTTCCACTCTTTACTAGTTCTAATTAAATTTTTTTTTTAATATATATTTCAGGTCAGGTCTTTATAATACTCTTTATTTTATTTATATATATTTTTTTTTAATAAATAATCTGAGTTAGGTTTTAACACTCTTCATTTTGTTCAGGTCAGGTTTCACATTATCTTTTTTTACTTTATTTTAAAGAAATTAATCTATTCTATACTAATTCTTCCAAATTATTATTTTAAAAATATAATCAGATCTCGGCTAGTATATTTTGTTTTGTTTAGGTCAGGTTTCACATTACTTTATTATTTTTTTCTTTATTTTTTTAAAATAATTTTGTTCTTTACTAACCTTTTTTTTTATAACACAAGCATATTGTTAGAATGTCTCACTCTAAGTCACAGGATTTTCTTTTTTTATTTACCTTTTTATTATTTCAATTATACCTGTATATAGTTATTATTTATAATTCACTCTAGCACAGGTCCAAATTTGAAATTTTAGCAAGATTTCAGTAAGCTATCAGTAAAATATTAGATATTTTTTTGGCCAATAGCTATCAGATATTTAGCACATATCATCTACCTATCAGATAGATATTAATTTTGATAGGTCTATTAAATATTAGATACTTCTATTATAAAATATCAGATATCTGATATTTTATGATAGAAGTATCTGATATCTGATAGGTCTATCAAAATCAATATCTATCTGATAGGTAGATGATATGTGCCAAATATCTAATAGCTGTTGGCCAAAAAAATATCTGATATTCTACTAATAGCTTACTAAAATCTTGCTGAAATTTCAAATTTGGACCTGTGTAGATCAACAAACTTATATAATATTAAGTGATGTGAGTAATATAGTTTTATGTTACTTTAGAATAGTTTAATCACAAGTGAAGCAACTGCTTATGAAGGATCAAACTATTTATAGAGAGAATTATTCTTATATAATCTTAGATAGTATAGCCTTCGCAAACAAATTGTAAAATTTATGGTCTTTTTGCCTTCTAAAAGGACAGTGATCGATTAAGTTTTATTGAAGAAATCATTATTACTTTATAATTATATTTAAATATTTTAACTTTTCAAATATTAATTCTGCTAAAATAAATAATTGATTCCTCATTACATTTGTTGATTAAAGACTATAAGTATACACTGGGTCTCTTAATTATTATAAAGGAAGTAAGCATTTAGGCAGAATAGGCTTTTTCTGAATAACTAAGAGCCGTATATTTGAATACTTATATCGTAAATAAGATAAGTAACGATATACAGTATAATAGAGCTTGTACTCATTCAAAATTTAAGCTCTTGTTTAAAATATCATTATGACTCGTGAGTTGATAGTGTTCTCAGGTCCTATCACAAAGTTGCTGGTGAAATTTCAGTTGTAAAAATTAGAACAAATAGTTAATTATACTCATATAATTCTTTAATGTAGGGGACCTTGCAAAAGTTAGAAGGCCCTATTGTTTAATAAATTGTATGCTATATAATGTTGTCTTGTGCGATCATGCAGTGAGGGTTTTTTTTTAAAAAAAAAAACATTACCAGGTCACAAAGGATAACTCAGTTAACTCAATTATTCATAGATAGTTCCATACTGAAATATGGTATAGGCTCTTAAACAGAGTAGTTGTCGAGATAATGAACACAGTAAATGTGTATATTATAATGAAAATAGTACTCTAGTGTTTGATGTATAATCCTGACATCACAGCATAAGGATTGATAAGTAGAAACAAAGATATTGATTGTATCAGAGAATTTCAACTTAGGACCTTTAAATATGAGTATGTGATTGAGTGGATTCTATTTGATAAATTATTAAATATTATAGAAATTGGCAAAGGAGGATTTGGCTCTGTATATTCAGCAACCTAGTTGGATAATATATGAAAAATTTGATGAGGACAAAAATAATTATGTAAGAGTGTAAGAATACGTGAAAAATCTACTGTTGTATTCAAAACTCTGACCAGTTCTAAGAAAAATAGTTTTAATTTTGAAGGAATTTAACAATCATATGAAGTACATAAACTGCAATATATTGAATGACTCAAGATACAAGAACAAATGAATAATTGATAGTGTTTAGCTAATAACAAAGCCTTTATAAATCTTTAAGAAAAAATTGCAATTATTTAAAGATATTTCATATGAATTATCTGATATTCACGATTATGCAAAGCTAACTTCATAATAGCAATATAAAGTTAATGTATTAATGAAAATGAATATGATTTTTTAATACCAAACTTGCAATTGAGATTAATCATGAATTATAGTTAAAATTTGCTTCTAAAACTAAATACTATATTGAATTAGCCAATGCATAGATTCTGACTTATAACAATGATTAATGTTTATTATATTTAAAATAATTACAAACTAGCTTATGAAAATAGCATTCTTAAGATAAAATTAAAAGCAATTTTTATATAGCTATCTCTTTGTTTTTCTAAGCTATAGTTTATTAAAATTGTTAATATACAATTGAATCAATTAGCTAATTAGATTACTCAGTTAACAAATCTTATAAGCTCTACAATATAATATTAATTAGTTAGATCGATTAGTCAAATAGTATGAATATTTATTAGTGAGATAGTGATCAATGTTTGAAATATTTTTAAGTTATTAGTTTTATTATAGTATAATGCTATCTTTATTAAAATCAGAATATTTCTGACTCTCTCTTAAAATTCATCAATCTGACTCTTATATAATACTTAATCTTGTTATAAATAGAATTATTGAACTCTATTATTATTACTTACAGTTATAATATTTAGATTATTATATTCGTATCATATTAACTATTAGGGCTAAACCTTGCAACACTATCTGCTCTCTCAATTTATAATTGTAACAATATTGGTGTTTGTGAAATAGGTATCTTTAACTTGTCTATAAAATGACTGTCAGTAAATCGTACTGTTAGCGAAATAAATATTAGTATAATAAAATAAGTATCTTTAGCTTGTCAGTGAATCGTACTGTCAGTGAATCATATTGTCAGTAAAATAAACTTGTTTGTGAAATAAACTTGTCAGTGTAATGATTATCAGTAAATTATACTGTTAGTAAAATAAGCTTTTCAGTGAAATAAACTTGTTAGTGAAATATACTATCAGTGAATCAACTGTTAGTGAATTAAACTTGTCGGTGAATTGATTGTTAGTGAAACAATATGTCAGTGAATTGATTATCAGTAAATGAACAGAACCCGTAGTCATATGCCTATTTTACAGATTCAACTAGATTAGACCCTTGTTGATGTTTATATAAACCCAATTCCTGCTATGACTGTTCACCAGATATAGTCCTCTA